TTGAACACTTCCACGATACGGCTAAATACTTCCGTCGTCCGATCGGACACGGGACGACCGACGATCCCGCGTCCGCTTAATTACACGCGCGGAACTTCCGGGATGCGAGAGAGTATCCCTTCGTCTCTCGCCCTGCGCGCTGGCAGCTCTTTTATTATTATACATTACAGCCGCGGGGTATATACAGGGTATATACAACTCTTGCTCGGCCAACGGCGCCGTAAATATCGGAGATATGTCCTCGATAAGTCGCAAAACATACTGCCGTCCAACGACACTTGGAAGCAAATGAAAAGCTAAGCCTGCCCCGGTCAAGTATATTAATGTAAAAGCGCCTCGCGAGCCGCCTGCCGTAATCAGGGGAGAGCTATCGGCTATGTACAATTTTTGTACGTCGAGTGCGGTTGAACGATGCGCGGCGATTAACTATATGGGGAAGCGGCTGATAATCTCGGGGATAACGACGTCGCGGATGCGCAACGTCGTCGCGGGGATGTAAAACGTGCAACACCGATATGCGCGCGCTTGAGACTCGCGTCTCTCGACGTCGTCGTCGTCGTCGTCGTCATCGGCGCGACCAAGTATCTCGAAACATCGGATCGCGCGCGCTATTTACCCTCCTGGGGAAGCAGCTCGATCCCCGAAGACGGCGAGCAGCGGCCGGTGAACGAGAAGGAAACTTAAGATTGACGAAAGCGGCACGATGCGGCCTGGTTTGTCGCCTTTCGTATTTGGAACTATAACTAAGCAACCGTGACGTTCCCCAAAAGCTTTCGTTGATCTCTCGCCGAGAGTCCGTCTTGCCTCTCGCTCATGCGGCGCGCTCGACGCGCATTCGTTATTAAAATATCGGACCAGCCTCCGGATCAAGCCTGAGCCGCCCGCCGATTCTTGATCGCCGCGATATCGATGGAGGATCGCGTTAAAGACGCAAACGAGCACTCGCGGTGACGCGTTATCGCGCGCATACACACACACACACACACATACACACACACGTCGCGCGCGCGCGCGCGCGACGAACGCACGGCGCACACGTAGCTTCTCGTACTTGCCGGCGATGACGCGTCGCCTTCTCAAGCCGTGACGCAGCACGTCGCGAGAATTAATGATAAACTCGCGCTCGAAACTTCACCTTCCGCCTGAAAGTTCCGGCGGCTCTTTTGCATGCCAAAGAGACACCCCGATTGCTCGGAATTTTTCACACGCGCGCGCGTGTTGTAATAACTCCGCTCTGAAGATCGCGGCTTTCCTCCTTCCTCCTTGTCTCTGCTCCTTTTCCTCCGTCTGTTGAATCGTATCGCCCCGATCACGCCGAAAAGCGCGCGTTTCATCGCGCCTGATTGAACATTCACCGGCAAATCGCGCTCGCGGGACGCGAGCGTGGGGCCCCGGCTGCGATTTACGATGTTCTGAAATTGCTGTGAACGAACGCGCGGTTGCATACTCGCGCGCGCGCGCGAGTTCTTTCATTTTTCTTGCGCTTTTCCTCCCCACGACGCTCTCGCGACTTCTCGCATAAACGCGGCGCGTCCCGCGAGCGAACTTGGTGATCGCGAGACCTCGTCGCCGTTACGTGGGAAGTTATCGATTTCTCTGCCGGGAAGCGCGAGACTGGAAGAGCTAAACGGTCATGTGCGTTGCACGCTGTTGTCGAGAGAAAAGCACGGCGAGGGTAAAGCGCGTGTAACAAAGGCCGAGCAACGCAACGTCGCGTCGTTTCCGTCGAACTTTTCGGCGGCTCACCGATCGTCAACTGCAGCGATCCATACGCGGCGAAGAGCGACGAAGCGCGGAAAAGCGCTCGCGACCCGCCGCCGCGTCCTTCGTTCGACGGGCTTGAAGGTGAGAGCTAAGGAAAGCCCGTTTAAAATTAACGTGCCCCTTTCGGGCGCAAGTCCGCTTCGTTGAGCCACCGTGCAGCGGAGCGTCTCGGGTTTCGAGCCCGCCGACGCCATTCTGCGGCGCGTCCGCATTTATACACACGACTTCGAGCGAGATACGCGTGAAAAGTACACCGGGCGGTACGCATTTAGGCGGGAATGTAACAACTATTAATCCCGGATGGAGAAGGGAAAACAAAGAGCGAGCAGATAAAAAGAGAGGAAGGGGGAAAAAGCGAGGGGAGACGAAATAACGCATTTGCACGGAGTCTCGTATGAATATCTACGCGTCGCGGCCGTGTGTACGTTGAACTTTGCAAATTAATCGGCTTACGGGTATGAATCATATTTTCCGATCGCGCGCGATCGCTGATGGCGGCTGCCGCCGTTTTCCGCGCGTACGCGTCTCCATGTATGTCTCTCTCTCTCTCTCTCTCTCTCTCTCTCTCTCTCTCTCTCTCTCTCTCTCTCTCTCTCTCTCTCTCTCTCTCTCTCTCTCTCTCTCTCTCTCTCTCTCTCTCTCTTTCTCTCTCTCTCTCTCTCTCTTTCTCTCTCTGTCTCCCTGCGTGGCTGCGTGAACGTGTGCGCAGGTGTATGCGCGCGTGCGCGTGCGTATATTTTACGCAATAAAAAAAAATAAACACTATTCGCGCACGCATCCGCGACTCCTCTCTCTCTTTCTCTCTCTCTCTCTCTCTCTCTCTCTCTCTCTCTCTCTCTCTCTCTCTCTCTCTCTCTCTCTCGCGTTTGTTTCACATTAAATGCGCTCGCACAATCTCTTGCGCGAATATCGCGCGAGGATAAACAACGGTCGACGAATGACGGTAGATCCGTTGCGAATCCTCCGTATGACTGCTCGAAGAATTACCGGGCTACGACCCGAACATGTTCCCGCGCGCTAATCCGTACAACGAGTTGCTGCGTAATATCGCATTACCGTACGCACTCGGAGGGGTTTGGAAGGAAGGATCTGCGGGGGAAGGGACAGATGGAGGCGTCCGTGCAATCGGATATTCGGATTTCTTCGCGGTTTCTTACATTAATCACACGTACCAATTAAAAGTTATAATTAGAACGAGGGAAGCTTACACTACGGGGGTTCGATGAAAACGTGCCTATCTAAGTATTGTGTATATATTTACATTTCGGTCGCACGGCGCGGATGCGCGATCGATAATGTTCGCACCCTCGCGCGCCCGTTATCATCGATAACGATGTCACGTCGAGAGAGACAGGGGGAGAGAGAGAGAGAGAGAGAGAGAGAGAGAGAGAGAGAGAGAGAGAGAGAGAGAGAGAGAGAGAGAGAGAGAGAGAGGAGAGAGAGAGAGAGAGAGAGAGAGAGAGAGAGAGAGAGAGAGTGAGTGAGTGAATGAGTGAGTGAATAAGCTCCCAGATTCCGGAGGTACAACGACCCCGACGCTTACGGTAAACGGATCTATCTCTGTTGTGCGAATTTTGCGGATGTTTGTGTTTGCGAGGAGGAATCGCGACGTGATTGTTGTTGTTGGTGCCTCGCGCGGAAAGTTGCTCCGGTCCGCTCTTTAAAGCTAATTCACCGAGACGTTTTTCTCCGGATCGTATACATCGTAGAATTCTCGCGTCTTTCTTTATCCTCGGATAAAGACGCAACGACAGAGGATCGCGACATCGTTGGCCAGGCTCGTTTCCGATGACGATGCATGAGGTACTCTGACTCGTATTCTCTCTAACTTCGGCGAAACATCACATTTTTCATGCCCCTTTCTCCGACCGTTCGTACGTTGCTACTCCCCTCTTTGCTGCCGCTTTATCGAATCATCGCGAACGGAAACCGCGAAAAAACGTGGAAGAGGCGAGGAAGCCTCGCCGGGGCTCAAACTCGCGAAGGAAGCGGGGATTGTCGTTTCACGTCCTTTTTTCCCCGCGAATTTTCAATGAACACTCGTTAATGCGAACAATAATACGATTTCGGCCTCGAGATTTAATCCATTAACATGATTTGTTAATGGCGTTTAATCCCCCGAATCCGCTCTCGAATATACGGTAATTTTACACTGCTGCGCGCGCGCCCGCAAAGCCCCTTTTTATGACGGTCCAAACTTTCCGCAATAACCGGCCGGCTAAAATTAGTATAATCAGTTCATTCCCCAAGTATATCACTAAGACGCAAAGTTCGAAAAGTTCAGCCCTCGCGTCGCCGGGAGTTTGAACCACCGATTCGGATTTGTTTCACGACTAACGACGCGGATATCGACTCCGGCGGAATCGACGAGCGCCGAGGAAGAGTTCCTCGTACGTGCGAGAACTTCGCGCTGGCGTCCGTATTTTATTTTATTTTTTCTCTTGGGAGAGGAGGGCGAATGGGGATGATCGCGTGCTTCTCTTCGCGATTAATTGAACTATCTAGGATTACGCGTGCCGGGGAAGCGGGGGACAAGTATTAGTCGAGATCAACGGCGAGATCAGTTCGTTCGTTTGTTCCTTCGCCGTGCGAGGAGACGAGCAAATCGCTGGAACACGCTGCCGCCAGCGGCGACATTGCGACATTGCGACCGATAGACCCGTCTCCCGTCGCGTCTCGAGCGATTTGCCGTGGCGTTTCGCTCCGCATTAAGGTATGATTGTCTTTGGTTACGAAACATCCGTCGCCTCTCGCCGTTCGTTCCCCTCCGTCGTGGTCCGTCTTCCCCCTGTTCTCCCGTCGGGCCAGAGTCGTCCTGACGGCGCGGTCGCGTCGACAACACCTACACCGTTCGCGGGAGGAACAGCTGCAGCAACGTAGCCACCATTAGCAGACATAGCGAGGGTGTCGCGAGGCTGGCGTGACCTTGAACTGAAACAGAAAGGGGCGAAAAAGTTTAGAGGGAAGCTTGGCCATCGTCGGCTGCTTCATCCGTCGAGGGTGGAATCGTCGCGTCATTGGAATATCATCGCGGGAACTGACAGCTCGCGGATTATCGCGATGTTGCCGGCATTTATCTCTTTACCGCTCAGTTCATCGGAGGAGGAGGAGGAGGATTATCGCGTGCGAGCGGCGCATCGCTCCTCGTCGCGCGTCTCGCACTCGCGTCCGCGAAATTTCTCTGCCGTTGGAGTTTTCCGATTATCTCCCTCTGGTTTCCTTCGCCGACAACTGACTTGCCGTCCCGCGGAAGAAAGATTGCGGTTTTAACACGAGCATGACAGCGCATTGCTAATCGCGACGTTGAGTCATTTCGATCGGCCGCGCGAAAATGAAGTTCTCTCTGAATTGAATTTAGTATGCACTCGCGCGGGCTGTTCATTTGTTAATCATAAATCGGTTAGTTAACTTATTAAAATTAATTGTACATTGGAGGGAAAGTCCAGTCGTAGAGCGGAGTCGCGCGGTGAAAAGAAGAATCGACTCGTGTAACGGACAATTACGGATCGCGAAGCGAATTTCCTTATTCGCGAATAAGCGAATGGATCCTGAGATATAGCGGGGATCATCGTCACCCTCACATAGCGCACGAGTGCTTTGGGGTAACTCGGTAAGCTAGTTTCCTCCGGGACAGCGGTAGTTTAGCTGGGAACGTATAACTTTCAGGTATGTCTCTCGTAACGAGATGAACGACTTCGCAAACGTCGTCTTTATTCTCACACCGTTCCGTTGTGCATTCTTAATGCCGATAACTTCCCTGTGCCGGCTCGGCCCTCGCAACGTCGGAGTTTCACGGGAAAAGGTGGATAGAAGTCATCGTCGGTGTAACAAGTCGCTATTCCGCGCCGTGCATGGCGAATTATACCGAATTATCGGCCATTTTTTTCGCGGCAGTGCACCGGTCCGTGCATATTTGTACGAGTTGATCGCGTATGTCACGAAATCGATACGGCATATCACATTGCGCACGTTCGGGGTGCCGCGGGGAGAGCATTAGGAAGTGTAAAAAATTCAGCACGGCGCTGAAATATTGATTGAGGGCGGATCATATTTTGCCGGAATAATTGTTTGATATCGTCTATGCAGGAAAATGCGGTAAACACGGTCAGAGCGCGTCGCTCAGCGAGATCGCTGTCTATCCGAGCGATGTAATTATTCCCTCGCGATAGAAATGAATTCTCGGTTTTCACGCGAGTCACGGGGTAGTTTTCGCTCCTCGGGCGCATTAAATATATCGCGGCTGTGGCAAAAGTGCCGCGAAATAATCCGATAACTCGGCCGACGCCTGGTCCGCTCGGTTCGCGATGAAAAAAGGGGAAAAAAGGACGGAGCGTGAGCCGCGCGCCGCGTTTTCGCTATGTCAGAAAATAGCGAAATCACGGGTGTGTGACAACTTGACCGTCATGCATCGCATGCAATACGAAACAATGTAGCCGCCATTCAGGCGATGTAAACACGCAGACAATAGCAGTCATCCATATGACATAACTCGAGAGAGGGTTCCATTGAGTCACTGAAAATCGTCTAACCACTCGATACAGTTTTTCAGAGTTATTCTACGGTCTTTCTCGTTTCGCTGGAGATGGGGGAGGGGGGACGAATGAACGTGCGCGGTATTTCTGCCGCGCGCTCCGAAAGGAACGGCACATTCAACTCATTCCGGAAGTATAAAGAGAAATACAATATCAGTCGCCGATATGACATAACCCAGCCGGAGCTATTGTCGGCTCCACACTCGCTGCGTTTCGGTATTCTTTCTGAAAGGAATAAAATTACGCGTATAGCGTTGTTTCTCCGCGCTTTCCGGGCGAAACGCTCCGAAAGAGACGTGTACCGCCAAGTGTATCACCGTGAGGTATAAGCCGCGTTTTCCCGTGGCTTCTCGTAATTTTTGTAAAGGGGAAAAAGTAAACGTAGGGAAAAGGGTAACGCAGAGAGAGAACGAGAGAGAGAGAGAGAGAGAGAGAGAGAGAGAAATCGCACACGTGAAGAATCGTGCGGTGAAATTTAGACGGATTTAGATTCCACAATCTCTCGTATCTTAATTCCATCTCATTTTCAGTTTTTCTCCCCACTGTCGCCGTTTATCATTTTGCCTGTTGTGTCTCTTTTTTCTTTCATGCACGGTTTTAATCAATTAATTTGTCGATGCGCATTTAATCGTTAAATAGCAACCGGCCAAGCTGCCGTTAAATAATTTATCGTCGATGCCTGATTAAATTTGTACCGGACGAACGATTAACAGGCCGATATCGCGGAGAAGCAACGGCGAAACTTGCGCGATTTGTCGGCTTCATTTTTCCTGTTTTTCTTTTTTCCTTTATTTTTTTTCGAACAGCGCCAACCGCATCACGCGGCTGACGGGATAGAATCGATGATACAAAAAATGGCTGTAGGTGATTACGTCAAATCTCGGGCTTTATAATTGATTTTTATATCGACAGTTTGGTGCGTACGCGTACGTAAAACTCGTTAAATATCTGACGGGGCTCATTACGGCGAAAGAGCCTTCGAAACTGTTTTATCAAATTATATTTCGTTTGGAAGCTGTGTGTAGCCGTGAGTTAATGATTACGAATACATTCGTCCCGCGCATAATAAATGTGCGCGCGGTTCAATTTCATTCTCCCTCGCTTTCACTCCCCCTTCCCCTCTCGCGAATGCATTAATAACAAGAATGAAAAGTGTAAGGCGAAATTACCAAAACGAAGGAATCCAAAGACGACAAATGTAGCCCATTTCCATGTCCGGTTAATATGTATATTAAAGCTGGCCGAGGCGGATTGGCGGGATTGACGACGCCGTGACCGAATTAAGGCCGCGACCGGGTTAAGGAAGTAGGAACGAGGGAGGAAAGGATAATTCGAAAAGTCGCGCGACGGTGGAGGTAAACGGGGATAGAGGCTGCGGGGACGAGAGAGAGAGAGAGAGAGAGAGAGAGAGAGAGAGAGAGAGAGAGAGAGAGAGAGAGAGAGAGGAAGAGAGTCGTTGGGGGGTGGTCGCTGATAGAAAGAAAACTGATAGTCGGCGGAGGGGTGGCAGCGAGCTATACAGGTGGATGGCTCGACGGTAAATGCAGGAGGCGTAGCGACGCCGCGTAGGACGCTTCCAGGAACGATTCCGCCTAACGAGAAAATCGAAGATCGTTAAGAGCAATTTCTTCGAGTCGTTCGACGTCTTTTCCGGTTTGCCTTGCCTCTTTTTACCTGTCCTCTCCTCCCCCTGCCCCCGCGCACGCCCAACTTGACTCCATCGTCCGACATTGGCCGTCTCGTTCGTTCGTCTGCTCGTTTCTCTCTCTCTCTCTCTCTCTCTCTCTCTCTCTCTCTCTCTCTCTCTCTCTCTCTCTCACATTCATTCTCTCCGCTTCCCTCTTTCTCCCTCTGCTTCCTTTTCGCTCGCACTCCCCATCGCCGCGTGTTCGTTTCCCTCTTCGCGTTTATTTCTTTTACCCTTTTACCTCGTCGTGTCGTGCAACGCTCGGCTCGCGGCCGAGTCCGGTCGATATATTCGGAGGCCCACTTATGCAATTAGGCCGAGTACCATTCGGCGGGGTGTATCCAGCGACGATAAAAGCACGCGGACTCTTCCTCGCATTTCGTTCGCGCTCATAATAGCCATTCTCGATAACTTCCGAAACGCGTGCGATAAGTGGTGGCTCATGATTACGACAGGCGTTACGACACACGCGCGGGGGGCTATCGTGTGCGAACTGCCCATTACTCGAAAGTATTCGCGAATTATTTGCGGATGAAAGAGCGGCTCGCTCGGCGAGCCGGTGGAAGCAAACATCTCTCTTCTTTTTCTTCCCCGTTGCCAGTCCGCGAGAGCTCGTTACGACGCTAATCGGCCGACATTAATCCAGGGCGTTTTCCTCGAAATTGAATAAGTCGAGGCAGTCGGGCTGGAACATTCTCGTCCCGGCGAGATTTCGCTCGCGGAGCTCTCGATGACCCTCCCCTCCCCCCTCCCCTCTTTCTCTCTCTCTCTCTCTCTCTCTCTCTCTCTCGTTGACCAACAATGCAGCGGATCTGGCGTACTTATGACTCGAATATTTTCAGACGCGGCCAGGCGCGGCACAACGCTGGCAAAACATGGCGAGCTCGCGCGCCAACTAGGCCGCGTTTGTATGCGCCGAAATGTTTGTCGTTTACAATGGCTTAGTTATGCCGCGGAGCTAGTCAAACGTCGCGTATTATATGCATTGTAATTCCCTCCGCCCGCGGGATTTGTGCGCTGCGCGCGGCGTGACGCGACGGCCGCGGCGCGGCGTGCGGCTAACGCGCATTTGATTATTCTCGTTGCTCTCGCATTCGCGACGCATGAATCGTTACGTACCGTCACGGCGGGCGCCGCGATACATTCTCAAAAATCGCATAGCGCTCCAATCGAAAACGTTTACGTCTCTCTCACCCGGGCCCGGCAATTGCCGTCGTATTGTTGGAAGGAGTTCCATTTTCACGGCTCACGATGTGTCGCTACGCGCCGAAGTTACGCACAGCGGCACGTCGCTCAGGAAAAAAGAAAATGCGTTTGGCACTTTGGTGACGGCTATTATTGCACGGCGAAATAATCACAATCGGGAATATCGTTGTGTGTGTGTGTGTGTGTGTGTGTGTGTGTGGAAAATGTTGCAAATAACGACAACGACAACCGCTTTGCGCGCATATTGTTACTTTTGTTAGAACAACAAAAAGAGGTGTGGGGGGGGGGCGACAATAATTTTTCAGCGAGATTAATCGCGTTTTCTCCACCGTCGGGGTATACCAACGTACCGTGTTTAAGCGACAGCAACTTCCCGCCGGCATCGTGACGTGTCGTTCGTCATCGATGAATAACAATCGCGTCGTAATAACGCGATTAATCATCGATTATCTCCGCAGTCTTAGTCACGAGCGCGCGCGGAACGTTGCGCGCCTCCACCTCCTTCTCCTTCTCCGCCTCCTCCTCCGTTGTTTCCGTCCGTGTGAATCGTACACGCGACGGTCTCCGATATCTTGCCGCTAATATTTCAACTGCGAGCGTAGCAACAAAAGCACCAGCGCAGTCTGCCGCCGCCGTGCCGCTGCTGCTGCTGCTGCTGCGACTTACAGAAAGGCGTTATATAGCGCGCGACGCGCGTAATAACACGCCGCAAATTACAGGAAACACGTCGGTCTCGCCGCGGGTGTTCCATCGGCCGCGTATTTTTCAGCGTATTTTTTTGCCGCCGGTCAATCGTGTACAAATGTGGTAAATCGATGATTACCTTTGTGGCCCTAATAAAAGAGAGATACGCGTCCGAAACGGTGTGAATCGCTGCACGATCGGCTGCCGGCTCATTCCGGCAAAATTGACCCGAATCGAAGCACCGAAGCTTCGGGCGAGGAGTGCAGCGCGCGTAAACTTCCCTCTCTCTCTCTTTTTTGTTCTTCTCCCCGTCCCTCCCCTTCCTCCCCGCCCCGACTCCGCTTTGGCAGCTATCGCGATTTCAACGAGCGGTCAACTGTACGAGTGCTGCGCGTTCCCGCGCGAAAAATAGTCTGCTTACATCGCTATGAAATATTGCAGCCGCCGCCGCCGCCGCCGCCGCCGCCGCCGCCGCCGCGTGTAAACGAAAATTTGATTTACGACCCGCCGGACGAATAATATTACTATGAATCCTCTCTTCATTGACGAGGTGACTAGCTGTCGCGCGGCACGGTCAGATGTCTATTAGCATCTCGTGAAGCATCATGAAACTTCAATATTTGTCGAGTGAGTACTGAAATTAAAAAAAACTTACTCCTTGCTTCTCGCTCGGACAGCTCACTAAAAGATGAATTATCTGATATTATCCCGCGACCTCATTATACATCCCTTTTCACCAGCGTGTGTCACATTAGGAACAAAAATAAAACTGCTCAATAATCTGTCAGTGATCTCAAACGTATCCTCTTTGCCTACATGTCTGACCTCGATAAATCTTTGCGGAAGCGAGCGAGATCGAGATATCGGATGAAACGCGACGTCGCGTACATCGCAAATGATGAGGGTGCAACGACCCTCGACGTGTACCTCGGCGGTTCTCTCCCCTTTCACCTCTATTCGCCCTTCCTCCCTCCCTCCCTCCCTCCGTCTGTCTGTCTGTCCTCTCTACTCATTTTGATCGTGGAAATCGAACGGAAAGTCGAGCGATAGAACGACGGACAGGCGAAAATTGCGAAAACGCTAACGAAATCCGAGCTGATAAATGTCAAAGTGCTGGGTGCCGCTCCGCAAGCGGATAAACGCGTTTGTCCTTCATGAGCGCTGAGCACCGCGCACGGCAGAGACAGCGAATAACATTATCGCGTTGTGTGCCACCCCCGCTATACATATTGGCGTCCGCGCACGCCCGCATTCGCGCTGTAACGCCGCGCGCGAATCGTGAATTTCTTATCGCGACTCGAATTGCGTGACGCGAGGGATTAGTTGATAAATATTTAATCGCGTTGCGGCTGTGTCGCGGTGCGGTGCGGGCGAAACGCGAGTGCCGGGAATAATGCGCGCGAGCGCGCACATCGCTGCCGTGTATGTACGATCTGATGAATCACGTATCCCTTGATTCGCGGCCGCGTTTTGTGTTCACCCTCCGGCCCGCGCACGCCGTGTCAAGCGTCGCCGCGAGGAAACGAAGCACTTCCGGCCGCCTGTTTCGACCGTAATTCGCGACGTTTGTCGCGCCTTGCTGGTATCGCGGTTTTCTCCTCATAACGTGCTCCTTCCTGGTCTTCTGGGAAGGCGAGGAAGCGGCCGCCGAAGAGAGACCGGAGCTGCCTCGGTGACGAAGGGGAAGGGACGCGAGGGGGAGACAAGGTGAGAAGAGCGAAAAGCGGTCGGAACTAATTCAAGTAGGAATTAGAGGACGGTAACGAACGTACGATCGTCGGTGAATACGATGGCGGCCGCGGAGGGCCGGGGGGCGGGGGGAGGGGGGGGCGCGGGGGGTACGGCGGAAAGGTTAAAGTAGCTGCAGGTGTAGCCGAGGCAGGCGTTGCGAGAGCAGGTGGTAACGGTTGTAAATTATTGTCTTAATTTCTCCGCGGCGCTCGCCCCCACGGGGGAGAACCAGCCGCCAACTCGACTCGCTCGTCCCCGTCTCCGTCGCGCCGTCCCCCTTTGCGCGGTCCCTCGCTAATTTCCCGTGCTAGGAAATAATAAAGCATGTAAATTTTCTCGAGCGCTCTTTCACGCCGCGGCCGCTCGCCTCGGAATGGAACGCGGGCGCGGTATTGGTAATCGAAGCTGTGTCGCAGCTGGAAAATCGAAAAGTCCGGCCAGTTTCTCTCTACTTCTCTCTCTCTCTCTCTCTCTCTTTCTCTCTCTCTCTTTCTACTTCTCTTCTCCCTTCCTCTATTATGATTCTTCTATTCGAGCCTGTCCATCGCGACTTATTGCTCTCGTTAATGTGCAACTTGCTTGTACGGGTAATTTATCATGAGAATGCTGTGGACAAATACTATACAGGGTGTTTCAGAAATAAGTCAAGCTGCACGAGCATATTTTACTCATTTCAAAGATGAAGAAAGGTCATATAAATATCAGAAGTGCTTCTTTTCCAAGTTATAAACGCTTTCTTCGGCACATTTCAGTCGCATTGTTCGAGAGTCTCTGAATAATAATTATATCAATAGATGAATAGATAGAGACGGAGACCCATTGTTTGGCCTGTATAATTTCTCGATTTGAACCCTTTGGACTTTTATTTATGGGGACATTTTAAGACTATCGTTTATGAGACTCCTGTCGCGTTACTGCGGAAGTACCGCGAAATCGTATTATCGCTTCGTGTGACAAAGTACGAAATATTTTGGGAATTTTTGAATGTTTTCGACAATCCATGAGACGTCGAAATATTTTTACTAAAGTCTGTTGTAAGTAAAAAAATATTTGAAGCTTGCAGAAGAAACGTTTCTGGCTTCCAAGTTTATATGACTTTCTCTTCATTCTTATAGTAAGTAAAGTGTGCTCTTGACCATCTATTTCTGAAACACTCTGTATAAAATTCGTCGTAAAAGTGTCCCGTTAACGAGCGTGTCATTCGTTCTCCGCAGCAGCGTCGTCGAATTACTTGTGCTATTCCTCATCATGATTGCCATTCTTGTCGGTGCACCGACAAGAATGTGCATCTATCTCGCATCTTCCGCTTGGTAACGCGGAGAATGTGCATAATCGAGCAAACGTAAAATTAAACCGCGCTAATTAGTTCCGCGGGTACAATCTCGTCCTTACGAATGGTTATCGACAGCTGGGTTGGTCAAGAAAGAAAGCAGCTAATATCGTTGCACACAGGTGTCGTTTAAAACGAGCTGACTTCAACTCGCGCATACTAATCTCGCGCTAAATCTCGCGCTAAACTCGTTAACATTTTGCCTTCCTGTTTGATTTATTCGGCTGAAAACGGCCAGCGCGTGGCGTCACTGCGCCGAGCGCGCGATGCCACCGATAATCGTTATCTCGTCGGCGTGATTTTCTATTCCCCTCGTCCATCCCACTGTCGCACCCCTCGGCAACCACGACTCGTCGTCGTCGTCGTCGTCGTCGTCGTCGTTCGTATCGCCGATCGTATCGATTGTGTCGCGCTCTCACGTGGACTTACCGAAGACCTCGGTGGTGCGCGTGTCGACGAATGGCTCGACGCGTCGACGATCGTCGGTGTCGTGGCTCGATCGCACCGTCGCCTCGCACCTGTAACAAGATATTCGATCATGATGCGCGGAGTCTCAGTGTCGCTGGCTGGTGGTTCCTCCGGGCGGCCGACACGGCCGACATTACGCGCGGCGAAATTACCGCGGCCCATCGCACGAAAGTCGCTTCGTAAAATGAAGACCGATACTCGCCCGCCGCCCGCCGCCCGCCGCCCGCCGCCGGGCGTTGTAGGTATATTTATGGGGGCAGCCGTGGTGTCATAAGCAACAGCCGTCGAACGACGGAAATATACTACGGTGTAAAGAGCGAAATTACCTGACGTTTATCTTGTCGCTGGCGAGATGACCTGGTTTTAGTTCGAGCAGCAGACTCGATGTCGTCGACAGCAGTCCGTGTTGCTCGAGCACCGTTTCCGAATCGGAGTTCACCTGGGCAGAGATAGATAGAGAGAGGCGGGGTGGGGAAGTAGAGGGGGAGGGAGGCAGAAAAAAGGAACGAAAGGAGGAACGAAAAGCGGCGACCGCTCGGCGCGCAACGTTTCGTCGCGCGGCGGCGATCGAATCCAATTGTATTGGAAGTAACTTTCCGATTCCAGCATCGGGGAAGGATGAATGGCATTTGTCGCGACGTTTCCGACGTCGGGCATGCTGGAACTATCGATTCGCCGTGTTACAAGCTTGAAATATGAATGAAAGAGCCGAGCGCGCCGCGCCCCGCCGCGCGCGAATGCATTTTTCTTATCGCTCATCCGTTGCGCCGCGTCGCGCGGTTGTGCACGAGCGGTTGATCGCATCAGCCGTCGTTGGGCGATTCGCCGACCAAACGCCGGGTAAACTAACGAAGCCCTGCGCGGGGCTAAGGAACGAAGTGGCTTCGGTTCTCGCGAAGTCGAAAGCCGAAGCCTGTCCATTAAGGAATAAGGTGACTCTGCTTGCAACGCTTCAACGCGGCCAGAGGACTGACAGCGCTCGAACGCTTTAACGAGCCGCGCTGCTTCTCGCTCGCTCCGCTCGCGAGTGATTTCTTTACCCCGTCGAAGACATTGATGAATAAAGGACAACGTGAACTCAAAACGGAGGCGGCGAAGGTGTGTGTGTGTGTGTGTGTGTGTGTGTAATTTCGTGTCCGATAAATCATAGAGGGCTACGTTGCATTTTAGAGAGAGAGAGAGAGAGAGAGAGAGAGAGAGAGCGAGAGGAAAAGAAGAGTGGAGAGGAGAGAGGGAGGGGCGAGAGAGCGCACGATGACTGCGATACGCGCGTCCGATGGTGGTGTGCATCGTTACGCTGCAATCGGAGACGCTGCAATGACTCGGACGGCGAAATGAGAAGAGTAAATGCGACTCTGCGAGGCCCCACAGGGTGAATGGCGAGAAGGGTGAGGGTGGGAGAACGGCGGTAATGCAAGTCATCCGATGTTTCCGACGTGATTGCGCCGATTCTGCGAGGGAGAAAGGGGGAGAAGGCGGAGAGGGTCCCGGCCAACACAGCATGTCGTATCGCGTGCGCAGCGCGGAGAGCGGAGCGAACAAATATCGTTCAGAGACGCGAAGTTAATATCGGCGCGGCGGCTTCGAGATTATCGCGAACTTGATTACGGGGTATCGTGTCGCAATGGAATTAAATGTAAACAGGCCGTGTTGGCAAACAACGTATCCGGCACTCTGGATGAAGTTCTCGTTATCGTATGCGTCGACGCCGGCGAGAGGAGAACATAGTGACGACGCGTCGTTGCAGCCGCAGCCGCGGCCGTTAAAAAGGCCGCGGGCGTTGATGAATAATGACGCGCAGGAGTCGCGAGGGACATGTCCTCCGCGAGGAGGGAAGACGTTCGCCTCGCCTCGCGTTAGCAAGCAAACTTCTCGACGTGCGTGACGACAATAGCTCGCCGAGAAGTAAATTCGACCGAGGATGAGGACACGGGACTCTCGGGACGGACGAGCACGAGGATGCAGACAGAAGCGCCGTTCGTCAGATTCGCCGCGATGCCGCCGCTCCGCGTTCCGCCGAGTTCTTAGCGGCGCGCTGGGGCCGGATGCGCGCGCGGATGTCGCTTTGTAAATTCAAGTCCCCGGCTTCTTTATGCAGTATGCCGTATTTTATGCGACTGGAATTTCCGCTTTTTTCTCCCCCCCCCCCCTCTCTTTTTTTCGCCCCCGCCACCTCTCGACCAGCGACACAATTTCGCTCGCTCGCTCGCTTGCCGTGCCGTGCCTCTTTCCACAGCCACACACTCCAACCCCCTGCGGCGCCGTCCACTCCCGGGGTTTTCTCCCAATTCCACGTTGTAAGTGTGTGTGTACATGACTCCAACCGGCGTTACCTTGCCGTTTATCTTCGAAAGCCAAGAGGTCTTTTCGAGAGAGAGAGAGAGAGAGAGAGAGAGAGAGAGAGAGAGAGAGAGAGAGAGAGAGAGAGAGAGAGAGAGAGACAGAGGACACTCTGCGTTCCCTTCTATTAATAAACCAACCCCTGACTGCGCTTTGCGCGCGAGCGCACGTGCGGGGCGAACTTTAGGCGAGCGTGCAAAGCACGGACTTTTGAATATTTCTTCGTCCGCTCGGTCGCGCGAGTGAGCGAGCGAACAAGCGAGCGAGCGAGCGGCAATTGGCGCGAGGGAAAAACTTTTGGCGCGAGCGCCGGCGGCGTGTGCGTCGTCAGGACGGGCGACGGCCTCGGACGTGCGAAAGTTGACAGGGCAAACTTCGTTGAAAGTTTCGACGCGACGCTCGTTTGAAGCGCAGAATTTCGTAATTAAGGTAACGAAATCGCGAGACTGCCGCGCCACGGCTACGCAGATGGGCTACGAAAAGGGCGAGCGGCGGCGGCGCCTCCTGCCGTCCTGCCGCGTCGCGTCGGGTCTCGTCTCGTCTCGTCTCGTCTCGTCTCTTCTCGTCGTTGTCGTCGTCTGTATGTTGTCGAGGGCATTCGGCGACCTGTCCTCTGTCCCCTCCCCTTTGCGACGCTGGATAAGCATCGAAAGAAGAATGCTGATGATACAAAAGGGACTGGTCGGTATCTCAGGAACGACGAAGATATCCGGCGGACGCTGCGAGCTATGCGTCGGAATATTTCAGCGGCTATCGTTTCGGCGAGCGTATTATCGACGAACTCTCACGCTCCCTCTCTCTGTCCCCCCTTCCTCCTTCCCTCCCTCTCTCTCTTCTCTCTCTCTCTCTCTCTCTCTAACTCTCTCTCTCTCTCTCTCTCTCTAACTCTCTCTCCCTTAGTCTCTTGGCCTCCGCGCTTCCTCTACGGTCGCTTATGAATTCTGCAACGGCTCTCGGCCGATTTTGTAACCGAGCGCGCGCTAGTCTCTTTTGTATATAATACATAGCGCGAGATACGCGCGTTTCATCGTGATGCGCTCCCCCGCCGCCGCCGCCGCTGCCGCCTTCGCCGCCTTCGCCGCCACCGCCGCCGCCGCCGCCGCCGCTGCGCATTCGGCGGTACATATTTTCTACTTTGTGCAGAAATACGATGCAATTTCGCCGTCTCTCTTCTTGCGTCGTAGCTATGTATCGTCGTACTTATCTTTGAACACTTGTTATCCGGCAGTTCGTAGCGCGCGCTTGATAAAAAGCAGCGACAGGATAAAGAGGAAATAAACGCCGGTGGATTAAATCATTTTAGAGCCGCGTTCACCTCGATTCCGGTCGCTCCTCCCTTTCTCCCACTCTCTCTCCTCCTTCCTGATTCCGTTGATTGCACACGCCGCAATTCGCGACCGCTGCCATTCTCCGGCTTCTTCTGTTTTTTAAAGCAGCTCGTCCCAATAAATAAGAAAAGGTGGTGGAGGGCGGGTTTCCTCCGGAGCAGGAGAAGGAGGGCGAAAGAGGAAGAAGAAGAGGAAGTCGCCTCTCTCTCTCTCTCTCTCTCTCTCTCTCTCTTCCTCCCCTTACCTTATTTCCTCGAAGCACCTCGCATGCCGCCCCGATATCGCCGACACAATTTGCGATTCTCGGTCGTGGTGCGGCTACGGCTCCTCCAACGTAATGTTTTTATCGCCGTCGTAAACAAATACGTACACGTGCCGTGCGTTTGCCGCGTGGAAAAAGGCCGCCGGCGACGGCGGCACTTGAGATCGTCGTAAAAACTAATTGGTGTAATGCCAGCGATTAGCCCGGGATATGAGCCGGCGGGGGCGGGGGCGGAGGTGGCATCGTTCGGGGAAAACTCGTTTCTCAACACCATCCGTCCTGTCTAACGCCGCGCTCGGCCCGAAAGAATTCATTAGGACCCGCGGAATTATCTTCGATCTATTACCGTCCCTCGCAGACGTGGCCGACCGCGACATACACATAGTATTCGTCGCGGGGCAAAGTACCGCTCTGTCGGCGACGGCGCTGCGACGAAGTAGTGTCGCAACGACGTAGATCACTCCTTTTTATAGCGGCATAATTCATAAAGGTGCGCGTTCAGCCGGTATACGACGGCGCTCCTCGAAGAGGATGCCGCTACTTGCCGTTTTTACAGGACGACACTCGCGACGGTGAAGGGTTAAAAAGCGCGCTGCTGCGCTGTCGCGAGGCTAAGGGGGATCTCCAGAAAAGTCAGCCGTCTCTTGTCGCGTTTTCTCGCCGTCATAAGCTCGACGATTACCGTCCGGGCGAGAGTCTAGCGCGTATCTGCTTGGCCCGGAGCGCGACCGGAGCGCTGGGAAAGCTGCTGCTGTATCTCGAGTTTCCTCTTTTAATTTGCGTGCAAACAATTATCCGCGACACGGGGACGCGATGCGTGACGCGCGACGGGTATTTGTCTGGATGAACTACCCGAGTAGAAAAATTATAATAAAGATCTGGTAAGGGCCTGATTATTTTTCCTTAACGTTAATCGGGCCCTAGTACGGGTAAAAAGACAAGGGCCTTGCAAGATGTGTTGCAAGTGGTTTAACCGGTCTTTACAAGGCAATATTAGTAGGGTCTAAAAATATTCGTTCTTTTCGTTCCAACAAATTTAGATTGTAATTCTTTTATTTCTTTATGATCCTGTTAGTACACAAGAATTTTTTACTTTAAATATATAGCATATTTTACGATGAAATGTAGCATTCTTTACGTATAAAAATCCTCTGCTACTGTTTTCATTGAAGTTTGCTCCATTCTAAAACGAAGGCAATACTAGAAAAATCCTTGGAAAGGACTAATGAATATGGCAACTATAAATAAAACTAATGAAATTTGTTTTTAATCGCGATATAAGTAAAAAAATCTTTGAAAGAACCAGATACAGCGTATCTACTAAAACAATACTAAACTATGACAATTTTATTACACGCTTCAGATCTTATTAATTTTCTATAACAAAATTTGATTTTGTATATCTAAAGTATCCTTATAAAATTCCTTCTAAAGCCCTCATCAATTTTCCTTATCAAAGCTTTATTTCGTAAAATCTAAGGTATCCCTAAAAGATCCATCTCGGAGCCTAATGTGGTAAAAATGAGGCATCCCTTTTTAGGGTATCCTACTTTTAGCTTTATCGGAGCCTTATGCTTCATGAGGATAGCCCTAACTTCTTTTGCTCGAGTATCTCCGCGCGAAATTATTTCAAGAAAGAAGGCCAATTGGCGCCGATTGCGTCACGGTGAAGCTGAATGATGCAGCGGTTATTGACAGCCGTGTACATGTCCCATTTTCGTTGCGTTAAAAATACCGAATGCTTTACTTGTCGACGGCAAGATATCCAAGTGCTACTTTCGTTACGTGAACGCCTCGGCGGGCCCGCGAACGCGGTAATAATTCCGCTGAGACCATCAAGAATCGCGGAGGACATCCGCGTACGGCCACGAAGGCGCGTCATCGTCGCAATCTTCAGGACGATGATTCCCCGTCGTTATGCCGCTTATCCGCGACGGACTTGCCATACTTGTCGAGCGATCGAACTTTTTCCCTCCGTGAGATTACTCGACTCGCGTTAACAGGTTTTTCGAGTCTTGCGACACGAACATTCCCGAAACAATATTACTTGTTAAGTGCTATACTAAACTCGTGCAACTTCTAATGGACGTCGTTGGGAACGTTGCGAAGTTTTCTCGGAGGAAAAGCGGCGAGCGGGAGGGCGGGAGGTAAGCGGCGGGTAGGGAGAAAAGCAAAGGAACGAGAAGGGAGGGAGGTGCGTTCCGCGTTCCCGCGGAAAAGGAAGAAGACCGAAATTCGAAAGATAAGGGGGAAAGTTTCGGCGTCACTGCCGCCGCCGCCGCCGCCGCCGCATGCGATTCACTGCGAAGCCCCGCTCGGAAGAAGGAGCTTCGCTCGTTACACGGCGTAATCTTTGGCTTTCTCGGCGGGAAGTGTTTCCGCTTTACTCACTTCTCGGCGCGATTTACTCACTCCTCGGCGTAAGCGACGCGTTTATTAGCGCCTCCGCCACGCGCGAGCAACGGGCGGCCGTCGTCGAATGCTTCTCTCGTGCGTAGATTTGCGTTTGTCTTCGACAATCCTTACGTAAGGAAAACACTACGAAGCGAGCGCACGTCGCTCGTACTTCAATTCGGATTTCAATTCGGAAGGGAGAGGGAGGGGTGGTTTTCTCTCTACTCGTGCGCGAGAGGCACTCGCTTTTCGCGGTTCTTTCCTGCGAGTGTCTTGGAGTGAAATTTCAGTCGAGTGGCCGGCCGAGTCGTACGAACTCGAGCGATTTATCGTTCATACGGAATGAATTCCCCGCTCTGAATCGTCGAGTGCGTTTCTTCACTCGAAATTCCTGTACTCTCTTCGTCGCAAAAAAATATTCGTTTTAATCGGCTGAAACATTCGTCCGTATGGGAGCCGGGATCCGGTCTGAGCTCGAGTGCTCACGTTCACTCTTTTGCGATTTCGCGAGAGCGGCAGTATTTCACTATCGCTTCGAGTGAAAACACCGCCACTTTTCACTCGTTTTGAGTGAGATTCCACTCGAAGAAATTTAGAGAGTTCGCCTTCAACTCGTAACGAGACCGATGTTTTCCTCCGGCCTTCGTTTTCGTACCATCGATCGATATCGCTCGCGCCGATGCTTCCCGAACGTTCCCTCGTTGTTCCCTCATTTGGCGGAATAATGATAATTGCGACATAGATTCGTTTCAACCGAAAAATGAGGGTTCTCTCTCTCCCTCTATCTCTCTCTCTCTCTCTCTCTCTCTCTCCCTCTCTCTCTCTCTCTCTCTCTCTCTCTCTCTCTCTCTCTCTCTCTCTCTCGCTGTCGGAGATTTTATCGGGCTTATTCCTTATTCTCGCGCAAAGCTGGCAGCATGTCCGCGCTTTCTTCCATCGACGGCGGCGGCGCCGATAACGATACATCAATATGCATGCGATAGAAACTCCGGCGGCCTCGAGCGATAGGAGGATTGAATTATTCGTGACGTGGCGAGGGAACGGAAACTTTGTAATAATAACGTGAAACGAGAGAAATAAAAATCCGGTGTGCCGTGTGTATAGAGAGCGCTCTCCCCTCCGACCCGACTCTCCGAGTCTCGATTCATCGCGTGTTAGTTCCTCCTGCGAAAAACAGACAGCCACGAGCGAGCGAGCGGCGGAGCGTGTGCTAGATTTCAAAATATGAAGCGGGGTTCTAGACGCGCTGCAAAGAATATAAGCTCGTCTTCTCCGGCTTCATCGGGGATCATCGCGCAACAAGGAGATAACGACTCAGGCGGAGCAGACTCTCTCTCTCTCTCTCTCTCTCTCTCTCTCTCTCTCTCTCTCTCTCTCTCTATCTCGTGGCGCGAATCTCCAGCCGGGGCTCGCTTTCTCCGTGTCGCGGCACGAGTTGATGAAAATCCCCCCATCGCGGCCATCGACGACAGTCATCCGGCTTTTTCGCCCAACTCATCCCCCGAGCGCGAGCGCTTTTGACCTCTCGTCCGACACGCTCGCGCGATATTCACCGCGAGGCTCTGCGAGTGCAAGTTTCGCCCTCCTCGTCGACGATGTGAAGAAGGAGGAGAGGGAGGAGGAGAACGAAACCACGGCGCATCAGCGATCCGTGGCGCGCATTAGAAGGCTTCCGGTGCTGAACACCGGCGCCGGGATGATGGTGGTGTGGTGATGGTGGTGGTGGTGGTGGTGGTGGCCGGTTGGTGCAGCTGCAACGAGGATCCGTTTCGTCGGCCGTTAATTGGAGCTTTGGCTCATCAAGCGTTGCCGTTGCTTGCGATGAAATCGAGCCGCGTCGCTGCGACGCGGCCGAACTCTCAGTCGGCTTACTATGAAACCGGCTTGCCCTCCCTCCTCTCTCTCTCTCTCTCTCTCTCTCTCTCTCTCTCTCTCTCTCTCTCCCTCGGACCAATCCTGCCGTCTGTCCGTGCTGAGCCACCCTCGCCCGCTCGCCAATACCCCTATAACGGTACCCTGACCCCAAGCTCCCGGCGCCGTTCATGTGTTGCACCGGGAGTTGTGTGTTCTCGATACTATAAATATGTGTGTGTGTGTGTGTGTGTCTTGTAGGTCTTTTGTGAAAACTAGATAAGCCGCGTGTCAGCGAGCGAGAGTCGCCGCGAATGCTCCGACTTTGTGTACGTCGCGGCAATAATACGACATCGCTCGGCGCCGGGCCGTTTTATCTTTCCCTCGTCTGAAATACTTGAGTTGTCTACAATCGCGCGCTATATCCGTCCGTATTAACGCCGTCTACGCTAACGGTAACGGGCTAAAGTGACGCGTTGAATATTTGTCACTACGGCGACAACGACGTCGGCGACGGTGGTTTAACGTCTTCCACTTTGGCCGTTGTCGCTTCCCCGATGCTGCTCGACAAGTGCTTCTTAAAGAATGTCTGAAAGCGGTCGCTCACCTGCTGGCCATTAACGAACCATTTTAGTCGCGCGGCTGGATGAGACTTGCCGCTGGTGCAATTCAGCGCGAGCACGTCCCCGCTCGCGTACACCTTCTCCTCGCCGGTTATCGTCGGTCTCTCCTGCGGCAGAGCTGCGACATATCGGGAGAGAATTATTAGGCGCGCCGCAAAGTAGCGACTCCGGGACGCAATTGTATCCGCAATTGCATCTGTTACGTCTGCAATTCTTTCGCGCGAATTACCGCGCAATCAACGGAGACGTTTTAATCGCGCAAAGGGCGCGGACGTGTACAATTGTGATTCCTCTTAAACAAGTAACACACGTTTGTATCGTTTGAGAGAAAAAGAAAGAGAGAGAGAGAGAGAGAGAGAGAGGAGAGGAGAGAAATTTTTAAGATAACGAACGCTTATCCCGATCCTTTTCGTCCGGGGCGCTTAAATAGAAAATTCCACATTGTTTCGACAACGTAAACGGTAACTTCGTTGCTTCGCCGGGGAACTCTGCGCGGCAAGATGTATATATAAAGCCGGACGTGCCATTAACAAGAAGTTTTACCGCCACTAAACACATTTATTAACCGAGCTTTAGATCTCGTGCATTTTAAATTTCGGCGTATACGTGCCGGCCGCGCGTTAATGTTCTCCGTAATGAAGCGGCCGTACGCCGCAGTTACGGCGTCGCTCGTAGACGCGATTAATAGTCGAAGCTGAAGGCAAAGTGAGCCCGTAAGAACGCATCGGGGATGTACATGTGCGGCAAAACGCGAGCGTAATTTACGACGGCGGGTGCGACGCGGCGCGTTGTTACGCGCGCATGCACGTTTGTTTGACGCGAGCACGCGTCCGAAAGCGTCAGAAAGCGGAGCGGATATCATGCGGCATGGCGGAAAATAGACGCGCGCGCGCGCTCTCCTTCTCACGGTTAATTTTAACTTTTCAGCAGACTCTAAAGTTAATCCAAGTTGCGCATTAAATTTAAATCAAAATTAATTTCAAAGTACCCACGCGCGCTCTTTCTCTCTGCCGCTTTTAGCGACGACGGGGGATTTTAGGATACGTTGCGAGCGGATCATGCGCTACGAGGGGCCGCGTACACTGTGCGATGTGTGTTTTCTGGCCGCGACGTTCTCGGCGAGAAACTCGGACGAGAAGCCCTCACGGCGAAAAGGAGGGACTCCGTGCTTCCCCGCAATTTTTCCCAAAGATTTCAAACTGCCCGCAAATCGATGCCGGGAATTCAATTACGCGTTATTTCTGCTAATCAGATTTTAATGAAACATTAATTAATTGTGGGCTGGAATATAGATATATATCGGGTGCGCTTATGAGTAATGAATTACACGATTAATGATGGCGATATAATGCATATTTAAGTAACTATTAAATTTTGACGTCATTATGAATATATAAAATATACACGCGCGATCTCGCGCGAGCGTAACCCGCAGTAACCCAAGTTCTAGAGTCGGCCGTTGCTCTATTAAAACTGACGGTTAAGCCGAGAGGGCCGGATAGCTCTTATCACGGAGTCGCCCTCGAAGATACCATCGCGCGATAAAAGTGCATCCCCGTCGGCGAGCTCGCCGAGCCGCTGTGACACTCCGCTCGGAATATTCAACGAGATTATTCCGGGCTCTCTTACAATGGCGACCCCGTCGATTCGGTCAAACTGGCGTTTCCATCAGAGGCCCGCGTCACTGACACTTTTTACCGCGCGAACGTCGCGGATTATTCGCTAGTCGACTAATGACGAGAGTAATTAGCCGGTCTATCGGATGCCGATCAAGTCGAGCGTCACGTCGAGAGCGCGTCGTCCGGCCGTGCGCTCTCGTTGAAAATCGTGCAATGTCGCGGAAGGAAGGAAGGAAGGAAGGAAGGAAGGAAGGAAGGAAGGAAGAAAGGAAGGAAGGAACGAAGGAAAGAAAGAAACTCGGAGAACAGGAAAGAAAGCGCGCGCGGGGTTATCGATCTCCGTGCGGGCCAGAAAACGGCGAGAGAGAGAGAGAGAGAGAGAGAGAGAGAGAGAGAGAGAGAGAGAGAAAATTTCGTCGCGAGGATGCAGTGGAAGACGAAAAGCCGACAGCTCGAGGAAACTTGGCACGACGACAGCCTCCTCGAGGCCCCTACAGCGGTCTTAAAATTCTCCGTCTATCCCCTTTCACGCCCTCCTTCGCCCTCCTGACCGACACGATCGTCGTCGTCTCGCTCGCCCGTTTGAACGAGCATTTCGGGCCTCTTTCTCCTTTTTCCGTATTCCCCCTCCTCTTCCCTTTGGCGTGGGCCGCCGGCGGCGACGACGGCGCCCAGTTACAGCTTAAGACTTACGACGCCGTAATATTTATCGCGTTTCGACGTCTTTATGCACCCTTAAACTTTAAGGCGCCCGTTCGCCGCACCCAGGCGAATTTCGTGTTCTCCGCGGATACGCGCCCGCGTCTCCTCACGAGCCCCCTTCTTTTCCATTCCTTTGAGATACCGCCGACGGGGGATGCGGATAAGACGGGAAATACTGCGCGTTCCTTCGTAAAGTCTGCCTCATGCCGAGTTTCGCAGAGTTGCCGGGTTTTACATCCGCCTGCCCGGAGGAGATGCCCGGAAGAAGAGGTCGAAAGCACGCGACGGCGATCCTGCGCGATTTAATCCTTTCGCGACCGCGCACCCGCAATTGTAGAGCCGGCCGCTTCGCCCGTTTCATCAGACAGAATTGACGCGGTCGCACCGCGTTAGGAAAGAAAGAAGAGGGACACAAAAACGCGCCTCGTAGCACCGGCCGGCTTGCAAAAACTCTCCCCCGCTCTCCCGGCAAATCGAAATATGAAATTATCAAATTCTATCAACTGCATTTCAGCCGGCGCGAGTTACAGCCGCGCCTGCGTTTTTCAACGCGTCCCTTTTATCGAGTTAACAGCGACATGCGCGAAATTATTTTGTTCGCGCTGCGTAATGCAACTTCCGCGCGAGCGGATCGTTGTTTGAGGAATTAAGCGAAGAATAAATGCGCGCGCTTAATTCGGCGCGTCGCTTTCTGGGGAAAAATTCGCGAAATTCGCCCCGTCGAATTGTAGCATCGCGTGCGCGCTCTCGGCGGCTCGCGGCGCGTTAATAATGATAATAAGGCGATTACATACGCCGATAACGGACGAGACCCTCGTAATCGCGCTCTACTCTTCCTTGTAGGAGCGTTCACGTCGAAGTGAGTGAATATCCAGTTCGCGCAGCAGCCGCGCGTGCCGTGTATATCGCCGTGGTATCGCCCCTATTTTGACCGTAATCCTATTGCAACAGATGCCCGCGTCCCAGCCTGCGCTCCAGTTAATTAGATACGCTTCCTTTGATCCTCATAAGAATGGCCTACGCACTTACGCGCACGGCTGTTTGGATTAAGGGTCGGTCGATGACCGAAACGCCACGTCGGAATCACGTCGCACGACGCATCACGCGGACGATGGCAACGTTAATCTTTGAGCGAGGAATTGTACATTGTCGGGTCTCTCTCTCTCTCTCTCTCTCTCTCTCTCTCTCTGTCTGTCTGTCTGTCTGTCTATCTGTCTGCCTGCCTGTTTTTTCCTCTTCATTTGCCGCTTCGCATCGTTGTCTCGTTAACTGCACATCGATGCTTGTGACGCGGTGATTTCGCTCATTGTACCGCGCAAATTGATAAGTGTTCAGAGATTGGCAGGCACGCAGAGATCGAATAACGAAAGAATAACGGGGAAAATAGCGCGGGGAGTGGGGAGGGAAAAAAGGCTGATGACGTTTTCATGCGCAGATTATTGATGAATTTGTAACCCCGCGTGGACACGCGCCCCGTTCGATGGCGCAATCAAATAAAGAGCCGACCGATTAATCAATCAAACTGTTATTCGTTTATTCGCTCGAGCTGGTCAGTGGAGCAAACGATTATCCGTATGTCCATCTAATCAATGAAGCGATTATATGGCTATTCTTTTTTGTTTCGTTCGTTTCGATCTAATGGAAAAGCGCGGGGCACACGCGCGCGTGACGAGTGTAGCTTTTAAATTAAACGGGAGAATTAATTAAGCACGGCGGAAAGCTTTCGAAACTGACACCGATGTCTTTTTTTCAATATTGCGTTTTCAATATTGCGTTTCTTAAATTACGGTTACACGCACACGGGCACACCACGAATGCGAGATGCGTGTGCTGTTTGAGTGACTTTAAAACTATCTTGGTATTTTCATGGTAAGTTGGTGCGTGTAACTCTATGTGAAATTTATGTGGAAGAAATTAATGGAAGACCGAGAGAACGAGGCAGAGTGAGAGATAGAGAGAGAGAGAGAGAGAGAGAGAGAGAGAGAGAGAGAGAGAGAGAGAGAGAGAGAGAGAGAGAGAGAGAGAGAGAGAGAGCGAGCGGGAGAGCTCCGCGCGAATGTCAAAGCGCTGAGTCAACCGAGAGACGCATAATTTTCCCGAAATTTTTCGCAGCGCCCGACGCGAGCCAATTAGCGCTGAAATTCGAAATCGAGCGGTCCGATGTCGCTCTTCTCGTTCCCCCGACTATCCTCAGCTATTTCCGCGTTCGACATCGCACCCCTCCTGCCGTCTGTCATAAGAGAGCTACCAGTTGCACTTTACGTCCCTCGCCATTCACTCGTGGCTGTCGCACAGCGCGGCGCGGCAACAAAACCAGCCCGACGTCCGATAATTGCCGCATTCTCCGGCAGTTAGATTGTCTTGCCAGCAATAGCGGGTTTCGCGATGGCACTTGCAAACTTACACGCTATTGCAATCCGATACGGCCCGCTTCGGCGGAGTTGCCGTTAATTTCGCCAACTTAATCGCTCCGTCGTAACCAGACGAACGTGTAAACGCCCGCCGCGTCGAGATCCTCGCGACCAGAAGTGGTGGACTCGTCATCGGCCAAGGACCGCTTGGAACATTACCGAAGCTCCGGCGGCGTGTTTCAGTCCTCCGCGAAAGCTCGTTTCTTCGTGAGAACGCAATGCCTCTCCTCGCCCCCTTCCACCCTCTCTCTCTCTCTCTCTCTCTCTCTCTCTCTGTCTCCTGATCTCTCATTGCCGCCTCTTGCCGGCGGGTTGCCGAACTCGACCACGTCTCGTAGTCTTTAGTCGAGTTACCAAAGGGCCGGGAAGGAAGACCGGCGCGCCGGCTGCGTCCCAAGCATTATTAATTAAACGCGACACCGGTCCACTCACCTATGACCTCCATGTTCGCCTCGCCGTTAACTGAGTGGAAGTTGGGCGCCTCCGCGCTAACTTCGCACTTGTATTTGCCGCTGGTGTGGAGATTCGCGTCCTGCAGCACCACCTTGCCGCGATCCGACTTTCGATGCTGAAACAGCAAGAGCACGCGCGTTTCATCGGGGCCAGGCTGTGCGAAGAAAACGCGTCGCGACCGAGTGTCGAGACGGGGAGTGAAACGAGACGACGAGACGGGACGGGCCGGAGCGGGGGGGGAGGGGGGGCGCGCGATGTCGGCCGGGAAATTAGCGGGTATCGCTGGCTGTGGGAATTTATTCACGTTTCTATTCCCGGAACCGCCTTTTGGTTTTTTTACAAGCGTATTTTCGTCACCGGCTGCTACGTGGGCCCGTTGTGAGGAGACGGGGTGATGAAGGAAGTACTGCAAATGAAGATAAATTGTGTTAAAACTGAATGAAGAATGATACAATCGGGGGGATGCGTCCGCCACGGCGAAGTGGCCGAGAGAGGAAGAAAGATAGACACACAGATAGGTGGAGGGAGGGAAGGTTAGAGATGCGGACGGACGAGTGAAACGGATTCGCCGCGATTCTTCCGCGCTATTTGACGGCGTTTAGTCCGAGGGTATAATAATTCGTTCCATTATGGCGAGGTGGGCGAAGTTGGGCCGGGCGGGACATCGACTTTACGAGTCATTTCGTTTTTAGAGCAGTGAATCGTGCCGGCGTAATTATGTCGTTACAAATGGCGGTCGCAGATCGCGCGTGATTACAGATCGGGCGTAAAAGCTGTTTTCTTTTTGCTCACGGGTTTGCCACCTGCCGCGACTTTGAACGGCTCTTACGCTCGAGCGTGTGTGTCCTTTTTTCTTCTCCCTTCTCCCTTCTTTTATTGTCTTAAAGCGCTCGTTCATTATACTCCACTTGGCCATGCGCGTCGGGCGGGGTAGGAAAGATTAATCAGTTCGAGAGCTGCTCGGCATAAAAAGACGATACGTTCGGTAATAAAAAAGACCGTCCGCGTGCACGCCCAGGATACATCTCCGGCACAATTAAACTGCGTCCACGCAGTTGTATTAACATTTTGCGCAAAACCCCCTCCCCCCACTCTCTTTCTCTTTGCTCTCTTTACTCGCTCTGTTGCGCGCGTTCTCACGCGCGAGGCAGTCATGCGAGCCGTTGAAAAGATTTCGTACTATTTTACATTCTGTCAAGCTCTCCTGCGCGAACAGAAATGACATTGCGCCGAGTGGTCTTTTTCTTTTGCCGTGTCGACTACCAAATGCAATGGGGAATTTCTCTCAAATAGAGGAAAAATGAGAGCCACGCTCGCGAGAGAGCGGGGTTTACCGAGATAAAGTGAAGCTGATGAAATCGATATCGGGACTACCCGATATCGATACAGATGTTAGCGAGTTGAGGAAGTATTTCCTTTCCGCGAAGTAATTCCGAGATTATTTTTAGTGGACTCATTTTGCATTATTACGTTAGAATAATTACCGCACCGGTGGTCGATTTTCGCTGCGTCTTAACAGATCGAACCTCTGCATTTTTTAGACTAATTTCGTGCCGTCTACACGGAGGGTAAATATGGAAATCGATTTTATATGGAACGATTCGGCTGGTACTTCGGCCGCATATGAAGAAATATATATGCGCACTTAAACGAGCGGGCAAATATACGTGCTTATTCCATTTATAACGACATATATATGTGCGCTATATCTCACCTATCGCGAGCTGGTCCATAGTAGGTCGTCGGTGCAACGAGTTTAAGAATTATGCGGCGGAGCAGCGAGTCTTTGGGTGTTCATGAGGCAGAAAATTGGAACACTTCTTTTGCCACTCGAGCTTATGGAAAGTACACTTTTCGGATACGTTCACTATGACAACTCTCTGGTTTCATAACGAATGAAAAAGAAAAAAAAAAAAAACTTTTGTACTGCCGCGGATCAGGCTTTCTCCGGAATGAATTTGCAAAATAATTGAGCCATATTCCGGTAGTTTTCACATAATAATGACTCGGATAATACGGTTGTCGACAGGTTTCGTCTATCGTTAAATGGAAAAAACCAATTTCCGCGTTTCACGTCGCTTGCGCGTTGTTCGACGCGACCTTATTTGTATGAATAAATGAAAAAAAATCTCAAATTCGCACGCGTATGCTTCCCTCGCGTGAGTGCGCTCTCTCTCTCTCTCTCTCTCTCTCTCTCTCCCCCCCTCTCTCTCTCTTTTTCCCTCTCGAGTACAGCGTGGTGAGTCTCGATTGCATTCGAAGGCTGTTATATCTTTCCAAGTATTCGGGAAAAAGAGTTCAGACAGACATACCCGCGGATCGGTATATCGGTATCGTGTGTAACGTGCACTTAATCCCACCCTCGCTGTACGAGCGTTAAATATTTAACGTGAACGATCGTGGAACCGTGTGCGGGATCGAATGGGAGAAGAATGTACGTCGTGTCCGGAGCAACGGCGAGAAAGATAAACGCTACTGCCGATAGAAAGGCATCGCGCTGCGCGCGGTACCCTGATGCGGGAGAAATCCGTGCTGCCGTAGCCGAAGGCGCGGTATCCGAAAACTTTGCGGGAAATACCTTTCGCAGACGCGATAAAACTTCATGCCGGCAACCGTGAGGAAGTGGGTAAGCAACGTCTCACGTAGATCTACCAAACAACGTCGAAGATAGTGAAAGCGTTAAAAGATGCAATATAAATTCGAAGACGGTACGAAAGAGAAAGAGCGAGAGAGAAAGAGAGAGAGAGAGAGAGAGAGAGAGAGAGAGAGAGGAGGAGGGCAATAGTCTTCATAAATAAAAAAGAAATTATTCTCAGAATCGAAATTTTTTCCGAAGAATATGATCGCGACTTTGGAAGTTCGACGCTCGATTGCGTTCGACAGACTCGAGGCTTTTTTCATTAGTTTATATTAATCGCGCAAATTTCGTCCCTTCCAAGTAGTCTCGGCGGTCGGAAACGGAAATCGCATTTATCTTTCGTCAGTTGGGTAATTCTTTCAAATAAGTGTCCGTCATAGTTAATAAATATGACATATCAGGAGGGATTGCCCCGACGAGGCGCTTCCTCAATTACGCGATCCATTACGCGATAATATATATAAGTTTCGAATTCTATATTTCCTCTTCCGTCTCACGTTTAATGAAGGACATATTGACGTCGGCATCGCGATACGCTCGCGCTTTCGTCGTTTCCGTTTCGTTTATGCGCGCGGGCTCTCGCGCGGCGAGGTCGGCCGACAGGCCACGTCTGGCTACGAGCGGTATGTATCTACTTGGCGATCTCTGCGGTGGAAATTCAGGCTGGCCAAAGAGCGTCGGAACCGGAAGGCCCGGGCGAGTATGCGGTAAAAGGTCAAGCGGCGCTCTGCTACGTTCGGCGAAATTTTATTACCGGTAGTAACACGTCCAGAGATTTTTCCAACAGCGTGAAAGTACAAACGCGTCTCCTCGAGACGCGGAAGGAACCGAAACACGAGGAGGCAGGGGAGAAAGGCAGGGAGGTAGGCAGGCAGGCAGGCAGGCAGGCAGGCAGGCAGGCAGACGAACACGCCGGCCACGATCACGTGGAGGAAGTCGCGAAGTATAAACGACGTGGTTCCCGCGTGGCAACGTTGACGTTTATCTCGTGGTAAAGGCGCTGTCGGACATAGAGTTCTTACGCCGACAAATCAATTTACGTCCCTCGAGAAAAGTTCCGCGAAAACAAAAGGGGAAATGACGGCGGCGGCGGCGCCGGCGACTGCCGGAATCGTATTACCGTCGACAATATTTCGCACTGGCGGAGACTCCCTTTCTCTCTCTCTCTCTCTCTCTCTCTCTCTCTCTCTCTCTCTCTTTCTTCCCTCCCTCTCCTCCTCTCTTCAAACGTTACGCCGCTGTTCCGTCACGATAAGCTAATGGGTCAGGGTAAGCGCGTATTCGTCTCGGGAATATCTCGTTCGAGACAGCCGCGGTCTCGATTCGTGGCCGCCTAAGCAGCGATCGTGCGCCGCAGGCAGTCGGTTCTCTCGGTAATCCTGATTAATTCAATCTTAAGATTCTCGTGCCTCCGTGTTTATGTTTTATCGTTGTCACGGTCGATAGCTGGCTGTCTGCTGCCGCCGTAACTCGGACTGCTACGCGCGGGTGGAGCGAGCGACGATTCAATCGACGGCCCTTTGCGACTCAGCGAACTTCGCCGAAGAAATCGAGAACTCTAGAATTGGTATCTTAAGGCTCTCAGAGGATCCCGTGATCCCTTTTTAGGTCGCATTAAGTTGCATTAATTCGCGCGACAGCGAGGATTTCGGCGGCCGGTGATAACACTCAATTAACGCGATACGATGTCAACGGCGATGGAAGTCGCTCGATACTATTATCTCATATCGCGGGGAATCTTCAAAACTCGCGGATTTCTCGCGGAGAGCATTCGACAATCAGGCAAATTCGGTACAAGGCGAGTCCGTAAACTAGCGGTTACCGGGGCGAGTGGAAAAAGCATGACAGCGCCGGGCTGGAACGTGCGATAACTTTCTCAAAGCGTCCGAGATTGTTTGTTGGCATCGCTACGAAAGTTTAGCGCAAGAGCTCGAACGCGAGAGAGGAAGAACGGCAGAGAGAGAGAGAGAGAGAGAGAGAGAGAGACAGAGAGCGACAGAAAAGGGTGGAGAAGGAGGGAAAGAAAGAGCATAGCGGGATTAAGGAAGATAGGGGGTTTACCTAGAAGATAGGTGCACGTCTCTAGCACATCGCGAGAGATCCAGCTGTTGATTCGTTCTCGATGAAATTTCAGACTCGAGTTGGCAGGTAATTTCAAAGCCGCGTGTTTCTTCCTCGTCGTTCTCCTTCCCTCCTTCTCTCTCTCTCTCTCTCTCTCTCTCTCTCTCTCTCTTCTCTCTTCTCTCTAGCTTCACTTTATATCCACGTGTCTCTCCTGCGTAGCAGCTCCGCCCGCGTTCCGACGGATCGACTTTTTCATCATTTTTCCCAGCACCTCGGACTCTCTCTCGGTTTTATCAGCGAATTAGCGAGCGCCATTCAAGTCAGGCGCATTCGGGCCCGATGAAGGTAAACGCAATTACGAGCGACGCGCGGCGGGGTGAAAACAATTTTTACATTAGTCGCTCCTCATCGCG